CTTGAATTATTTATTTCAATTTACTAATAAATTTCGCTACTAGAGACAAGGCCTCATTTTATATTTTTATGATTTCTTTAAAAATTGAGGGCTGTAAGAAAAAAATTATATTTTTTCATATTTTATATTTTACTCGTTAAGTCCCCTTAAGACACAAAAAAGACAGCTGAAGGAACGCAGAGTGACTTTCTCCAGAGAGCTCAGTCAGTCAGTCCGACAGTCCATATTAGGATCCCAAATAGTCCGTGAACCTCTTTCTGTATGTCTTAGCTACCACCCCCAAAATCAGGGCACATTCACGACGAAGCTTCTGGAGGCAGGCCGGCTCGGTCGGTCACCCGGACCAGTCCAGCCACAGTCCAAACACGATGGCAGTACTTTCGGCCTTTACGAGATTCTTCGTTTAAATTCGTATTTTAAATGTTTTACCTAACGTAACTGTTTCTCAGATTCTCATACTTAGTTTTGACAGATAGGGCGATACGCTGTGAAGCATTTTCTCACGAACAAGCGAGCGATGCTGTGGCTTCGGTCAGCAGAGTAAACTTTTCGCCTTGCTGCAACCCTGTTTCAAGGTGGCGGTTTACAGGCGGGAGCAAACAACAGTCGTAGGTTCCATGTCCTGCTGGGGGGCAGGCCGGAGAAGCAGGCCGGCCCGCCGTCGCGTCTGCGTGGCGTGTGCCAGTGCAACGTGACAGGATTGGCATGATCGTGTAGCTGGCTGCATAGGTCTCGAGCTCCTTTGGGCGTTAGGGGATGTGTCTTATGACCTCCACGTAGGCGCGATCGGCAGTGATTCCTGTATGTATCCTGTATGCGTCGCTCCTGGGGACAGATGGGAGGGAGCCGTGAGGAGGACAGCGTCCTGGGAGGCCCAGGCTCAGGCGTCTCTTCGATGTCTCAGATCTGCCTTGGTTTTTCCTCCTTGAGAACTGGTTCCATGAAATCATAAATCCAAAAATTTGCAAGTGGTCCTAGTTTCGTTTTTTGTGGGGTTTTTTTGTTTTTTTGTTTGTTTGTTTGTTTTTGGCTTTTGCCTGGTTTCTTCAAACAGTTGAATATTTTTTATTATGATTTTTCCATAACCATTCTTAAATATCTGTATAAGACCAATCTTTCTAGCCAGATAATAACATGCACTACCCCAGAGCATTTTCTCTCGGTGTGACATAAATCCCAGGACAATGAAGATCGCGGATAAGGGGAAGGATCACGCTTGCCTCGTAGTCACCCATGAGGAGGCGCGGGGCGATGTTAAGATTGTTTACTCGTCATGTGCTTTCTCGGCGTGTCTTCCAGTGGTACCTTTGGAGTGGAAGAGGCAGAGTATACGAAGCAGATGTTTTACTTAGCACGACCTCACGTCCCGACCACAGGGACTCAGGCAGACGCAGTGCTGTTGTCCGTGACAAGCACCTGGCGGCAAGGCCCACCGAGTGGCGGTGTGGGTCCCCGGCTGCCTGAGCTCCTCGGTGCTGGGAACCTGGGCCTGCCTCATGGGGAGTTTCCATGGAAACCCTGCCAGTCTCTTCCGCCATTTCAAACCCGCACTGCGCAGCACACGCTGCTGTCTGATTCCATCCGGCGAGGGGACTCTGAGCCCCCCGCGCGGGACGGCCGCCTTCGCGGAAAAGGCGCTCCCACGCGGGGAGATGCGAGTCGGACTTTGCTCATGGATCTTTACAGGGCCCTGCATCGGGGCCCCGGAGCTGGCTCCACCAGAGAAGTACAGACCCTTCTGCTGGATGAATAACAACCTCTTCGCCGGCCTCGGAAAATTGTGTTTTTGCACGCCGAGGTTTCTAGCAAATTCGTGTGCAAACCTGAGAGTTCAAGAAAACCTTAAAGTCTTGGGTAATCACGTAAAAATGCAAACCCAGAGCCACTGTGAGACGGAGGAGCCGGGACACGGGTCGCGCTGACCCACACGGCCCGGGGAGCCGCTGAGGCCAGCAGAGCAGACTGTGCCCCTGAGCGCCAGGCGCGGCTCCTCGGGGAGCTGAGGGAGCACAGCGGCCTGGGGGGCGGGAGCACCCCCAGAGTTGAGCAAGCCCTGTGCCCCTCCCTGCCTGCCGGCCTCCGCGCCACAGCCAGGTGAACCCCCCACGGCCCCGGGGGGCTCTCGGCAGACCTGGGGTGGGAACAGTCTGCCCAGCTTGAAGTCCTCGAGACAGCCAGGCCTCCGAGAAGGCAAGGCCACCCTCCAGGGACACTGTTTCCTCCTGACACAGTGGAAGCTGCAGAATGAGCCACATCAACATTTTGTTGATAAAGGACATTTTAAACGCCTCTCTTTTTTTTTAATCAGAAGATATGTTTATAAATGGTTTAATCCCATGAAAACTACTCCGAAAATCTTTTCCTTTTTTATAGTTAGTAAAATCTGATTTTCATTTGTATAATTTCGGTTATAAAGCCTCACTTTAAACTTGACCAGAATATGTCAACTTCCTCCCACCCCCACTGAAATAAAAAAGGCATATGAAAAAATTTCCACTCGTTAAAACGGATAAATTTTAAATAAATTTGCACTAAGTGCTTAAATGAGGACAAGTTTAAAGATGATTGTTTCTTTTGAGCATAAAGCAAGGCCACATATACGTCACTGTCGTTAAGAAACATTTGTTGTTGGATGCGTTTTTGCATGAAGATGAGCTGCTCTTACCGAGGGTGCTTTTACCGCCGTCAGGGTTTCCTCCCTGTGTGAGCGTCCGGGGCCCTGTCCACACGGGGTGCCACTGGGGAAACCAACCAGCCGTTTAAGTTCAGTTGTTTAACTCGTCACTTAGGAAATAATTACCTCGCAACCGACAGAATAGTCTTGCGATCAAGAATGAACAGCTGTCAGTCTGACGGAAGTCAGGCCAGCCGTCAGGTGGGGGTTTGTCCCCAATACCGATGCTGTTGTAAGCACCTCATCGTTCTGTCTCGAACTCCTGGTTTTCGGATCCTGCATCTGCTGCGCCCCAATGTCTCTGTTCCACTTTCGTGAAGTTACTTTTTAATTCTCACAAGGCATGAGCTACCATTAAGCTTGAACAGTCAACTTCTATGCCCTCAGACCTAGAATTACGTTCCCTTCCTTGGGACTAAAGGAGAATTCGACGATTTCTAAAGACCAAAAATTGTTTGCACATCCCAGTGTCGAAAAATGACATCCGTACAGTTGAACGTATCTCCGCTGCCACCCCAACTTGGCTCTGACCTTGAGGATGCCCCTCTGTAAGCAAGTCATCTGCCGGCCTGGTTTGACATCCAGTAGTCAAGGTGGCTCTCTGAGTGGAAAGCAAATTGAAATCAATTGGAAGCAGTCCACTTATTAAATATTTAAGATTAAAATTTGTGATGTGTGTCCTTGCCAGGCGTCCAGGGGAGTCACTACTGGGTGATGACTCTGCTTACTAAGTCACTTTATTCTTGCTGTTTCTCGAGACTTACAAATTTAATGGAAAGAAAGAAGAATTTTTTCTTAATTCTTATCCTTTATTTTTACGTTTGTGGAGGGCACAGATGCAACAGAAATAACAAAGCGACACCGTCTGTGGCACTGGTCGCTCCCGACGGGGCGCGTGTCAGAGGCCGCAGGACAGCAGTGACTACAAAGCTCTGTTTTTAGAAAGTTCTCTCCCATTAAAGCGAGTGGACGAGGTCGCCGGGCAGGGGCATAGCCAGCACCCGAGACGCGGCCTGTGTCTGGCCGACGTGGCCTGGGTGGTCGGGAGAGACCTGTGCCCTCCCCGAGCCAGTCAGAGTGGCCGTCAGAGTCCTGAGGCCAGTCCCCCTGCCCAGCGCGCCCAGCCGGCAGTCCAAAGGCCATGCAGCCTGTGGCAGGTGCTGCCGGCCCGCGGCCGCCCCACCCCACCCGCCGTCGTCGGCCAGCCATGCGGCCGTCTAACGGGTGCCGACAGTGGTGCTGTCTGGGGCGGGCGAGTGTGTGCGTTTTCACATCAAAATCTGGCCTTGCACGTGGGTGGCGTGACAGCAAGCCTGTGGTCTCTGGGCTCGACTGACCTTCAAGTGACCGAAGGGAAGGCACGAGGGCGTCTGTGGGGGGCAGGGGCTCTGGGGTAAGGAGCCGAGGGATCGGGGTGCCCAGGGACTCTCAGGGCCTCGGCGGCCCCTGAGATTGGGGGTCCCCTGGCAAGTGTCGCTGTGTTGGAAGGCCGAGGCGGCCCAGGCTGGTGGTGGCAACTGCCGAGCACACCGCAGGCCAGCCAGGGGCCCGGCGCTCCGGGGAGTCGCCTCCCGGAGGAGGAAGGCAGTTCGTGGTTCAGGGGGCTTCGTTCCTTTCAAGTAAATCGTCCAACGTGCGTTTTTCGGTTTTCGTCTTAGGTGTCCCACCCCTGGCTGCGACGGCTCCGGGCACATTACTGGCAACTACGCTTCCCATCGGAGGTACGTGGCGGTGCTCATCCTTCTCCTGAACCCCTCGTTCCCCTCGTCGGCACCCTTCCTGCCTGGGGATGATGCCAGCGGCCCGGCTAGCGGGCCTGACCGCGCTGGCGAATGGGGTCGGGCAGAGCGCTCGGCGCCTCACCTGGAAGGCAGGCTGGCCTCGCGCCACACCACGGGGTCCCCTTCGTGCGCTCGGCCTGCAGCTGGCTCTGGCCACCGGAAACACTGCCGAGGTCCGCCAGCAGCACGTCTCTGAACGGAGAGGGTGTGGGAAGGGTACGCGGCCCCGGGGGACAGGCAGTGACAGGCAGGCATCTGATGGCGCCGAGAGTCAGTCTCTGAGAGGGAGCCTCAGCCACAGGCTGCGCAGTTGCCCTGCTCAGGGGCCAGCCCAGCCGGACACGCGGGGCCTCGCCTTACAGACTCCGCACGGTCCCTCCCGGGAAGAGGAAGAGTCTAGACGGGAGCATTGTGCCTCGGTCACATGAGACAGCAAAGTTCTATGCCAGCGGACGCACAGCAAGCATTTCGTGAGCGTCTGTTTCGTGCCAGGCCCTGGCATTGGTGCCAGAAATGAAAGACGCTTTTGACACGATGCCCACAGGGACCCCGTGGTCAGGAGCAAGGCTCTCTGGTTCCGTTCTGTGAGGAAAAGGACGTTTCTGGCTAAGACCTGCCAGCGATGGAAGGCAGGGCCGCGCCTAATAAGGAAATAAACGCAGGTTCCCGGCGGCTGCCGGCTCCCATCTCTGCGTTTGATGCAAAGCGGGCGGGCAGAAAGGGGCGAGCCCTTCAGCTTTATGTGCGTCCCACAGGGAAAATAAAAAAGGGAGGGAGGGGACAGCCAGAGCGAGGCCAGCTGTCCGGAGGGCCGTCGGCTCGATGCAGCGGAGCGGACGGTTTGCGTGGGCCTCCACCCTGTGGCCGCCCACGGGACCAGATCCCAGGGGGGCAGAGCAGGCGACGCTCCCAGCTGGCTGGCGCGGTCTGGATTAGGGACGGAGCTGCCTCATGGCGCCTCGGCTCAAGCCGTGTGCCTGTGCCCGCCCGCCAGCCCTGAGGGAGCCCTGCCCAGCAGCGCAGGCCCGTGAGGGGCGTGACATGTGCGCCAAGGGCGGCGGGACCGGCCTCGCCCGGGGCTCCTGCTCACCCTCTACCCAGGCTGGTGGGGTCACCGCTGTGGGCTGCTGGGCAGGTCCCGGCCCCACCCACTCGAGGCCAGAAGCACCAGCACCCCGTTCGTGACCACCCAGGACGTCTCCAGACATCACCAAACGTCCCCCAGGGTCCACTGCGTAGACCGAAGGTCGTGGTCCCGTGGAGCCGGGGCACAGGTGAGCCGGGCAGCAGTGCACGGTGGACGGTGGACCCTCCAGAAGGGGCGCCAGAGCAAGGCTGCGGCTTCGAGCGGATAGACCTGAATCCAGAACTCGAGCACACGCGGGAGCAAGCACAGCCCACGCCACCCTAGTTATCTTCGGAAGGACCCGCCCGGCCCCCTCGCGGCCGGGCCCCCCCCAGGCAGTGACGTCTGCACACCTGAGCGTGGACGTCTGCCGGCCGCTTCTGTCCACGTGTTTCCCACTGATCGCTTCCTGCTTGGCGTCACGTGAATCTGCTCATGATTCACTTTACACGCTTGTATGTACGAAGCTCAGATCCCACGCGGTGGGCATTGATCCATCATGAGCTTGCAGATGAAGCTGCTTCAGCTCAGACGTCAGCGGCACGTCGGTACCAGGGTCCGTGCAGCGTTGGGAGCAGGTCTGGTTTGATTCCAACACACTCCAGCTGTGGGCGGCTGTGGGCATGTGGCGGGCACCACAGCAGTGTCCCTCGACCGCCAGTGTGAGTGCGGCTACAGTCTGTCAGGCGAAGGAGTCGCCCTCGGTCAGCACCTCGTGTGAAGTGGACACCGGTGGAGGACAGAAGGCGGCCCACGCCCTGGGCCTGCAGCTCTCCAGGCCATCGGCACTCACAGAATAGCCGCTCCCAGCTGCTCCCAGCGCCGTCTCCCAGAGCAGAGCAGGAGGTGGAGCCACCTGCGCACCTGCTCTGGACAAGGTGCACCTGGAGCACAGTGCTTCGCCGCCGCTGCTAACCGCGCCCCAGCACACGTCAGTCACGGTCTGCAGCGTCTCCCTGCCCTCCAGGGCCACAGTGACCAGACGCAGAACAGGGTCCCCACACGTTCAGGCCGTGGATCCACCGGGAGCAGCTGTGACGACCTGTGACTCCCCCTCCTCAGCTGCAGGTGCGTGTTCGCGTGGCCCTGGTGCGGGCGGCCCAGCACCAGCCTTGCCGGGCACTGTCCTCACGGCGGAGCCACGGCGGCACCGGAGACTTGTCCCTAAAACACCAACAAGCGCGATGGGCGGAGGCGCAGGCCTAGATGTGGATGTACATAGGGGCCTAGTCACCAAGGCAGGACCAGGACAGGTGGGGCAGGTGGGGCAGGTGGGCGGGTCTGAACCCAGCCACGGGGCGGGATCCTGAGCCGAGGGGGGCTGCGAGGGCGGGGGGCGGGATGCGTGGGGAGGAGCGGGTGTGGGAGGACAGGGGATGCGTGAGCCGACGGGGGTCGGGGTTCCAGGAGGTCGCCAGGAGGAAGGGTACCAGAAAAATGTCCTAACGGCGGCAGCACCTACACAGCCCAAAGCGCTTTGACGACAACAAGGGACCCAGCTTGGTGGAGTCTGGGGTACAGGCACGTGGGAGCCACTCAGGTGGAACTTGGTTTTCGGAGTCCGGTCACCACATTGCGAGGGGTCACGCGCGGTCTCGGGAACGCAGGACGGCTGTGCAGGGCGGGGCCGTGGCAGCGTCCCTCGGAGGTGAAGCGGCACCAGAAGATGCGGGGCCGGTGCCGGAAGCAGCGGCAGGTCGGGACCAGCGGGCCGGTGAGGAGAGGCTCTGCAGGGGACGGCTGGGTGCCACTCGAGGACGGCCGCGGGCCTCCAAGCTTCACAGCGGGACAAACGGCCGATGGTAGCGTGGTCCTCCCAGATCAAAAAGCCCCGACAGAGCCGGGTGACGTTCTGGTCAAGTGCATGAACTTGAAGGGCCCTGCGGTCCACACAGGCCAGGGCAGAGGGGGCTTCGAGTGGTGTCCCCAGCACACGTGGGTCCGAACCCACCGGAGGTTCAGTGGAGAGAACACCGCTGAGTGACTTTGCTGGGGTCGGACGTGGACCTTGAAGGACTCACAAATATGGACGAGAGCGGCAGGACGGACCTGAAGTCACCAGCACCACCTCGCTACGCCGGTGGCTCTTCCGTGTCCCATTTTATGGAAGCGCGGTGGCACCCTGGGACTCGGGAGAAGGCTGAGACGCCACCTGAGACGGCGGCCGTGCGACCACGCCCCCAGGCCCGCGCCCCCAGGCCCGCGCCCCTCGGTCTGCGCCCCTCGGTCTGCGCCCCTCGGTCTGCGCCCCTCGGTCTGCCTGCCCTGGGCGAGGCTGCCGACGCGCCCCAGCTGGCGGGACTGCAGGGAGCTCTGGGCTGCGGTCGGCAGCGAGAGGGTTTCCCTTCCACATTCTGAGCGGAAAGCAAGCGTTTAAGGGTCGGTCAACACGGTGCCATTTGTCCTGGGTCCCCAGCGCTCAGCCGGCTGTGGGGAAAGTTCTCTAGTTTCCATCGGGCGTGGGAACCAGCAAGAAGTAAGTAAAACAGAGCCGCCGGCCCGTGGGATCGAGACCCAAGGCCGTGGACGCGTGGGCACGCCCGGCCGCCCCTGCACGCGCGGTGTGCAGAGCACACGTGGCTGCTGCCCCGCGAGGACCTGCTCCCACCCCCCGCTTCCACGCAGAGCCCGCGGTGCAGGAAGCCGGCCGGGGCCTCGCTGAAGCCCTGTCTCTCCTCTAGCCTTTCAGGGTGCCCGCGGGCGAAGAAAAGTGGCATCAGGATAGCACAGAGCAAGGAAGACAAGGAGGACCAGGAGCCGATCAGGTGCGTGTGCCGGGGGGCCTGGCGGGCTGTGGGAAGCTGGGGGACACTCGGGGCTCGTGCCTTTGAGACGTCAGTCAACTGCAAGGTCAGACCATTTAAACCCACCCCAAATCACACCATCTGCATCACGGGCGATGTAGTAAGTTCTGCATAACAAAGCGCCAGAAAGTCCCCTCGGCCCCTGGTAGGAGGAGGGGGCGAGCTGACCAGGTGGGCATGCACGAAGGTCTGCAGAGGTGGTCCTTACGTCCAAACGTGAGCCTGCTGCAGACGTTCTGGCTTTCAAGGACCGTCCGGCTACACACATTCTCAGGCAGGCCTGGAGCCCGGCCGAGGCCACCCGGCTCCTGGGAGCGGGGTGGGACGCCAACCCTCCCGGTCACCTGGTCGCCCACAGTTGCCTGACCTGACGCTCAGTGAGCCCGGGTCTCAGGAACCCCTGAGATGAACCTGGTACTGAGTCCCTGACGCCCGGTGAGCCCGGGTCTCAGGAACCCCTGAGATGAACCTGGTACTGAGTCTCTGACTTTGTGGTCTCTCTTGCCGTCTTGGCAGCAAGGTTTTTGATTAAAACAAAAATTACTTACAATAAAAATTATTAAAATAAATTGAAACTTATTGGTATAAATGAGTGATACAAATTATAGAGAATGTAGACTTTACTGTTTAGGACGAAACGCAGGCCGGAGCCAGCAGCCTGGGGCCGTGAAGGGCACGCTGCCGCCGGCGAGGCGGGCGTCCGTCCTCGGCCCCTTGCTGTGAGCTGTGTGAGGACTCCCAGCAGCAGCGGTCCGCCTGTAGTTGAACTTGAGCTCTGCACCGATGTTTCCATTTATCACCACAAACGCCCTGCTGGTGCGCTTCCCGCCGACACCTTCCGGCACCCTGGTCGAGCTCCGCCCCTCCCGCCTAACACCCTGTCTGGCTGGAGGGTATTTACGAACTCTGGAGAACACGGCCAAACACACATCACATTCTCTAGCTCTTGAGAAAACAGGTTTATGAAATGGCCTTTTCGAAAATAACCCTACAACTTCCCATTGACTGTATTTCCATAAAAGCCGTGACCCCGTCCAACAGTGGCATCTTTTCCACAGACGAGTTCTCCTGTCCCACGGGCTGGCGCCCACTCCCACGGGCGTGGCTGTCTGCCCCGGAGCGGCAGGCCCTCCGGCCAGCGTGTCCAGTGCTGGTGCCGGCCCCTCGCCCACTGGGTGGGGTCCGTCCGTGAACTTCCCTCCTGTCTCCTTTGCTCGCATAGAGCGTGACTTTCTGCGTGCGAGGTTCCGTGCCTTTGTCGCAGAGGCCGCCAGGTCTGTGCTGGCAGCACAGTAAAGTGTGTCTTGTGTCTGCTGCCAGATGCCCGGTGCCCGGGTGCGACGGCCAGGGCCACATCACCGGCAAGTACGCGTCCCACCGCAGTGCGTCCGGGTGCCCCCTGGCAGCCAAGAGGCAGAAGGACGGCTACCTCAACGGCTCCCAGTTCTCCTGGAAGTCAGTCAAGACGGAGGGCATGTCCTGCCCCACGCCTGGGTGCGACGGCTCCGGGCATGTCAGCGGCAGCTTCCTCACGCACCGCAGGTGAGCGCACCGCCCGGGCCCTTCCCTGGGGGTCCTACACGGGTCCTGTCCAGCACGGCCCCGCAGGCATCGCCAACCCCAAGAAAGCAGGCTCGAGAGTCACGGCACCAAACCAGCGACACGTGAGGCTGTAAAAGACGAGACCTGTTTGGAAGAGTCAGACTCGCTGCCCTACGGCTGTGTCCTAGGCCCGTGGTTTGGAGATGCCCGTCAGCACGGCAGTGAGGCCCAGGCGCTCGCCGCACACGCATGTGTGCACACACATGCACGCACACACGCACACATGCAACCCCAGTCCTTGGAGGTGCCCAGACGTGGCAGGGCTCAGCCACTGTTGTCTCTTTCAATAGGAAAGGCAAAGGTCAGTAACCTCTTACACACACACACACACACACACACACACACACACACACGCGTGCACACATGCACACACATGCACACACATGCACACAAATGCACACGCACGCACACACGCACACATGCACACACAGGCACATGCACACACATGCACATGTACGTGCACGCACGCACACGTGTGCACACACGCACACAGGCACATGCACACACATGCACGCATGCACGCACACGCACACAAATGCGCATGCACACGCGGACACCTGCGGGTTGACTTACTCATCTGGCTGAATGCACACACACATGCACACACGCACACAAATGCGCATGCACACACATGCACATGTACGTGCATGCACACACGTGCACACACGCGCGTGGACACCTGCAGGTTGACTTACTCATCTGGCTGAACACTGCAGACAGGCCTCACGTGGGGGAAAACAGGTGGCATTTGACACAGGGGACTCGTGCTGAAGGCCTGGGCCAAAGATGTATCAGGAGATTTCCAGAAGAGCCAGTTGCCCCCACTGATGTTTCTTTGCTTAATTTAAGAAGAAATTGTTGCAGTCAGGTTGTCTTAGAAGACGAGGCCTGTTCTGTTGAACCAAGAGGCCTAGCGGGCTCCCTGTAGGAGGGTCAGGGTCAGAGGTGAGGGCCCTTCACAGAAGTCAAATGACTCCATCAGGCTTGCTGTCCCCGGCCTCACGGAAGCCAGGCGGGGGAGGGCATGGGTAGGCAACCCAGGCACCTTGCGGACAATGCAGACGCGGGTGGGGGCTCGGCTGTGTGTCCCCTCCCTCTGCTCGGTGATGCCGCTCTCCACACCCAGCACACACCCTGACTCGGCCGGTAAAACCACGTCCAGCACGGAGTGAACTGAAGCCGGCGCCCACCCCAGGAATGACGGCATGTGCAGGAGCTTGTGACGGGCTCAGCGGTTTAAGGAAGGCTTTTTTTTTTTTTTTTTTAATTACGAAAGGAAATCCTGCTCAGATAGGAAATTCAAATGGTATAAACAGGATAAATGGGCCTAGAGGGGGAAGTGGACGTCCAGCCCCTGACCCGTCTCTCGGCTCTGGCCCGAGGTAACCGGTCCCCTCCCAGAAAGCGTCCTGAAGCAGCGGCCCACGTGCTGGGGCCGCCGGCCACCCGTCCCGATCCCACACCCGCTTTTCTGTGAGCACCACCGGATCGCAGTGTTTCTTCCACGCCTGCGTTGGACAAGTCCTTCCTCGCCCGCAGACCCCCAGGGCCGGGCAGGTGCTGCATCGCCCTGGGACAGGCAGACCCTGCTGAGCGCTAGCTCTGAGCGGAGCTGCCCTACCCCCAGTGGGACCTGCCCTGCCCACGCTGCCTCCTAGACGTGTGTGGTCCAGGGACACGGCAGACCTCCCATGCCAGATGCCACACACCCCTGCAGGCACAGCCTTAGGACGCAGTCCTAGAAAGAGGATGCTAGGTTTTGACCTCGGGCGCTCAGTGACAAAATGCTCTCCAAAGTTCCCGCTTCCAGCCTCTGGCTACTCACGGCGTTTTAGTTAAACCCTGTTCCACGCCGTGTGAAGGTGCATACAGCGGCCAAGCTGACACAGACAGTTCCCGTTCCTCTGGTTGAGGTGGGCAGAGGCTGCAGGAACCGCACAAGCAGACAGGCGCCTCGGTGACGCTGGCAGATGGCAGGTGCGAGGCCTCGTCCCGACGCCGGGCAGACTGCAGGCGAGGGACAGGAGACAGACGTTAGGAGCCGCAGGCCGCAGGCCGCATCGCTTCGGGGCGCTCTGCCCACTCCCCTCGCAGGCTGGTTCCCTGAGCCCCGTGTCGGGACACTCCACAAGGCACACACAGGTGCGGCCGGTGGGAGGGAGGGAGAGAGGGAGGCGGTGGGGGGCCCTGCGGGATCCTCGTCTTTGCGAGTAAGCATGCTGGGTGTGCTTCTCGGTCCTCACCTCAGTCCTACCCCGCTCCAAGTAGCATTCAGCAGATTCTCCAAAACTAAAATCCACTGAGTCCAACCCTGAAAAATAAGCAAGTAAGTAATTTTAGAAATCATACAATCGACCATGGGGTTTAACTACAAGGTCCTTTTTAAAAAAGACTGTGTCCTAGGTCCCCTTAAACCTGTTCCACCTGGACATACGCCTTGGCTTATTCACGCCCAGCTCCCCTATACTCCGTTATAAACTGGAGCTAGCCTTCTGCAGAATGTTCGTTTGATGCTTCCCAAGAGAGTTGTAAAAATCGGTCACCGTCCTGATTACTCACTGGGACTTAGTTTGTGATCAGTCGTCTCACGTTCCGTAAGCATTAGCCAGGATGGGCTGACTGCCCTGATGGCCTCCAACAGAGCAGAGGTCACTTCCTGCTCCCGTGAAGGACCCGGATGGGGGCCCAGGAGAGATGGGTGGTCTTCACTCCACAGCCAGACACGAGGAAGACGTGGGGGACCCAGGAGGGAGACGGAGGAGCACATACCACACCCTTCCCACCCGCAGGTGGGACCTAGTCCTACAGCATCACCTGATGCCAGGGGCTCTGGGGAGCATAGTCTGCGGGGTGGGGGGGAGGGGGGTGCTGGGGAGCCTAGTCCATCTGGGGGCGCTGGGAGTGTCGTCTTTGTGAGCCCAGACCGAAAGAAAACCTTTGAGTGCCCGCCTATGACCTGTGCCTGGTGCAGGAGCCCACAGGACAGGTGTGTGGACCCGCCATTATGAGACACACAGATCACCAGCTGCCCTCCGGGGGGCAGGGGCGAAGTGGCAGAGGCTCTGCACCCCGCCGCCCTCGCCGGGTTGAAGGCCCACTGCCCTGCCTACCCGGAGACGTCTCTGTCTGCGGGAGCATGGAGGGGGGGCCTTCCGCTCCCTCCCATGGCTGCGATCTTGGCCACTGTCACCAAGACCGCACGCACAGACAGGACCCAGACGGCCACTGTCACCAAGACCGCACGCACAGACAGGACGCAGATGGCCACTGTCACCAAGACCGCACGCACAGACAGGACACCGAGGGAGGGTCCAGCTGTCTCAGGACCTTCTCTGATGACGAATCCAAATTCCACAGCGTATGTGTGGATCTAGTAACTGGTCCAAGCCGCCCACGAAACCTGGACCTCGCTGCCCCCGGACCGCTCCTCTGGGCCTCTGGCCTCCCTGGACACTAGACTTTCCCCGGTTGGAGCCCTTTGTCCACCACCATGGGGGCAGGAGGGTGGCGCCCGGGAGGCACGTGGACCTTCTGCGTCAGGGGACACACTGGACGGGCCGTGCCTCACTTCACAGCAGGAGGAAGGTCCCCGAACGCCAATCCCTCTGTGATCCCGGGACACGGGGAGGGAGAGGGTCGTGGTGGCTGCGCAGGGCAGACGAGATCGAGGGGTGGAGCCAGTTCGCTTGGGCGACCACTGAGTCGGGGTTCCTGCTGGGCTCCGCTCCACAGCAGCCAGCTTCCCCGTGTCACCCCAACGCCCCTCAGCCGTCCTAGAGAGGGGCAGGGGGCGGGGTCTCCAGCATCACGTCCGGCCGTTTCCCGGGCGGCCCGCCGCCCTGCACGTGGGACACACCGGCCCTGCAGGGAAGGCCGTCGGCCCCTCGCGGGCAGCCTGTGATCCCCAACCCTGCCCCGAAGAGGCCTCAGGGCCCAACGGCTCCACCAAGGGCGCACCCCGCCAACCCCCGCCTCGCGGCCCCTCGCGGTCGCCCGGAGCCGATTCCCCTGCACGGCGGCCTGTGGCCCGTCACCTCGCCAGGGCCTTCGGCGTTTCGGCTCCACCGCGCTTCGGAGGGCGGCTTCCCGGGGTCGGTCTGGCCCCATGCGGCTGCGCACGGCCGCCTGAACGCGGCCCCACGGCCCGGCTCCCGTTTCTACCCACTCGGGAGAGAAAAGCTCAGATCCGGCATCTGCCTCGAAGTGCGAATCCCGAAGGCGGGGGAAGGTGAGAGGCCACGGGCCACACCTGCTCCGCCCCCGCAGCTGCCGAAGGCCACGTGTGCATCTCGTCCGGGGAGCGACCAGCCAGGCTTCGCGGTTCAGGAAGGTCCGCCTGCAGCACCTCCACGTCTGCCACCTCCCGTCGGTCCCCCCAGGCAGAGGGCCTGCCCCGTTGGTCGCTTGACTGAGTGCTGACCGGGGCCGAGCCAGCTGGCCGGCAGGCGGGGACGCGCTGCAGCCCCCGCGCACCCACACAGCCTCTGCTCTCCTCTCCGGGGTCTGACGGCCAAGCTGCTCGGGCTTCTCGTCCGCACTGGCCACGTCACCCCCCTTCCCTCCTCCGGGCCCAGCTGGGCCAGGGCAGCGCAGCCAGCTTCCTGAGGCTCCCTGGGGTCCCCCTTCCTGAGGCACACCAGCCACCTGAGTCTCAGCGCCGTGGGGTCTCCCCCACTGTCATCTGCCACTCAGCCCAACCCCGGGGAACTGCTCATATTCACGGAACTGCTGTGTTCACAGACTTAAAAACCGAGACATCTTAGGGGAACATGGGGAACGCCTGGACTGGAACCCAGGGTCAGCTGGCAGATACGACTGAGCCAGTGCCTTCGGTTGTCCTGGCACGTCACTGCAGGGGCGGTGGCTTCTAACACCAATGTCCTCTCCCCAGTTCCGGAGACCGGAAGCCTGGGGTCAAGGCGGGCAGGGCTGCGCTCCCT